GGGGGGGGGGGGGGTAGACACCGGGTGTCGGTCTAATTTGAGGAGGTTTGCGGAGATTGTAGGTCACCAAATATTCGACTATCGGTATCACCACCACAGAAGCGTGAGCTTGCCGACACCCCCCCGGCGCTGCTATTGGACGTCCGCTTAGAACTATGCACCAGGTTCGTGGCAACACGACCTTATTTGAGCGACTGCCATTTTGGCTCTTTTGACTTGGATTAATCATGGAGTGGATTTGTCATTTTGATTTCAAAGGAGGCGTGCGGAGGTAGACTCGTGGTATATACGAAGTATGTTTTTGGCAGCCTCTACTGCCGCCCTGTGCGAGAATCAACGAGTTCTGTTTTTCACGTTGCTTTCCGACTGGTCTTGTGCATCTGTTGTGCAACTCCTTGAGCTGTTGCCTTTGTTTTCAAAATTGAGTCAACAAAGTCCCTTGTCTGGCATTCCTGAAGTAACCCGCGGGGCAGGAACTCGTCTGAGCCCCTTGTCACCGCCGAACTGGGCACCTTTTTCGAGGGAGGGCTCACTCCACGGCCATCTTCTATCGAAATAGCGTTGGAGCCGTGCCCTACGCGGTCAGGATGGAGCAAGGGGGGAAGGCTTTCTGACGCCCCGCATCAAAGTGGGTAGGGGCCAATCCGGGGAAGCATGGAGGGTTGTTGCGGGGTGCAGCCACAGAATTTGGTGTGGAGAAATGCACGCGACCCCCTTCACTTTGCAGTACAAGCAATGCCGTGGCCTTACCGACATAGTACATGACGGATGATCGAAGGAGATAGCACCCTCTGTACGAAACACACCCAGGATGGGAACGAGCTAATTTATTTTCCGCGCAGGGGCCATGAATCTGCACGTCGCACTACGTGCTAGCCTGCACCAAGAATACGGCACGAAATTTTATGTGAAAACGGCAGCCAAGGTGTTGTATCTCCCCGATGCTACCGGTGTGCACTGCGGCAGGCTCGTTGCCGTATCGCGATCCCATGCATGCCTTTTGCTGATAAAACGATACACTTGGGAAGAAAAAGAAAATGGTGGAAAACCTTTAATCCCGCAGGAGGACAGTGAAGTAGGGGCTGGAACAACCGTATGTCCCTCCCCTCAACCCACACGTGCACTTTCTCGACACGCGCGAAACTCATTGCAGGTAGGTCTTCTTTCGCCACCTTGGACTGCTCTTTGACGTCCTTCCGAGACGCCCCCCCAGCGGAGAGGTCGTGGGAGCCGGTACGAACAAACGGTTTTTACCAGTGTGTTCCGGGGAATCGCACTCTGGGTTACCCCCTCAACGGGTGGGCCTGTTGAACGTTGGTTTGTGCAAGTCTCCCTGTACAGCTTCTCAAGTTGGACGGATACATGTGCATCTATGAAGCGTCTCGTGGGTGTGTGGGTCTTTCGGCTTGTTACTGGTCCGCCTTTGCGCGATGTCTAACGTACGGCAGCAGCGGGATAATGTATGTTGGTGCCTTTCCCAGGCGTATCGGCGGGCGTGTCACGTACCACCACCAGACGGGTGTTCGGTAAAAGACCGTGCGCTCGGAAATCATTGTCAGGAGACGTTCTTCTACCAACGCGTCAAAACTCACCTTTCTCGTTCGTGGTTGCTAAATGCACGAAATCTGCAGACCACTGAATCACAAAAGTCGTACTTGCACGAAAAACCTACGATCCTGTTCTTGCCCCGAGCCCCTAATGCCCGAAGCGTCACATCGCGTGGTGCGTGTATGCATACGTGAATTTGTTGTCCGTGTTTCCGCGGCCGCCGCCACCATCACCGCCGTACCCAGGTGGTAGTGTCCGACTGCGTTTTTCGCGTGGCGGCCTGCGTGGACCGGCACGACTCTACCCGTGCCAGCCAATCTCAGCGTAGCCTGGAGCCCGGGAACACAGTCGACAGGGGGATGCAACCGGTGAGTCACCACATCTGCGGTTGGGTTTTATGTTGACTGACGATTGACATGTGAGGCAGTCTTTGCAGCGTTGGGAGTTTGGCTACAAAACTTTCGTTAAAGTTGTTGCGCGTTATTCTGGAGAGTTGGATTGCGAACCTGGCGGGTTGGTGCCTATTCTACTACCCCCCCCCCCCCCCCCCCCCCCCCCCCCCCCCCCCCCCCCCCCCCCCCCCC